GGGGTGGCCAGTACATAACCAATGTACATTAAGGGGTGGCCAAAAGGCACCAGAACCTCAGGGTCAATCTACACTGTTACAACAGGACTGAGCACAAAATCCATATTTTCTAAATAAAGACAAACTGTAAGTTCCTGCAGCCTTTGCTAACAAATAGACGGACATATTTAAACATTTATGCTGTCAAAATAAAAGGTATAGTGGACGAAATTCTTTCAGGTTTGAGTTCTGGGGCGAACATGTTTTACATTGTCATTACCTACTTTTATCAATAATCATTCTGCAAAAAAATTATAATTCAATCTACTAATATCCACAGTTAATTAATTTTGAAGTTATTAAAGTAGTTTTTTATCTGTGATTTCACTGAAGACTCCTAGATGACTTACAGAGGCACTTAATTTTATCTTTTTCCCAAAAATTTCAAAATTTAGTTCTGAAAAGAGCATAAATTCTCTATACATCATCTTTCATGTTTGTATATTGATGTGCATAATTAACCACAATGTTTCTGTTGTCAAGTAGTTGTTAATATATGAAAATTTTTTATGTTTAATAAGTCTGAACATTCCCCTTCAGGGTATAACTGCTGGCACCGCCTATATTAGAGGGGAAATAATGGTAGGGGTGGCCACAAGGGTGGTCAGTGATTGGCTAAGGGTGGCCATGGCCACCCCTGGCCCCCCATCTAACTCCACCCCTGTTATGAACCTGTTGCAATAAAAAAAAAAAAACGCATTGCTTGGCCTACAACAGACGTCTACAACAGCTTACCTCATTCAAACCCAAAAGGGTTAGGCTGTGTAGGAAGCCATAGGTAAATAAAAGGAAGAAAAAAAAATCACTTCTGCAAGGCAAACAGGCCTATGACAAATTTAGGTCAGCAACTGTCCGCACTGCTAGGGAGGAGGAGAACATTTTGGAAAACCTGGAGGAAGACCTTCAGCAGGAAGCCATGGAGTTCATCTAAACAGGTGAAGTCAAAGACGAATTATTATTAAAAAAAAACAAAAAAACATGGCTTTAGAAACAGACGTGAGTCACACCTAATGTGAGCTCCGTCTAAAGCAGAAGCAAAGAGTAGAGACTGCAGCTTAACAATGGAAGCGTTTTTTGATCTCATTGTGGAGTCACATTTAGAGCACAATAAACTATGATTATCCATCCTGTGGTGCAGCCTTGGCTAATGCCTGAAAATGTCCATTATCATTTACAGTAAGCTGGTCATAATGAATCATCCCAGACCTAAACTGCCCAACAAACCTCTCCTCTCAAATTACACCAATGCTCCGTGGCCAAGGCCGTCACAGGAAACCAGCAGGAAGAAAAAAGTGACTCTAGGCCAAACAAAACCAGCTCTAACATACGACTTCATTACTGTGAAGGAAGCCCCTCTATTGTCTATATAGCTAGGCAGCTGTATACACACAGCAAACATGTATCAGTGCTCTGTTTAACTATACACAAAGAAGGATCTTTGCTTCTCTCTCTGCAAGCAGATGCCCTGGATACAACCAACAGACAGGAGCCTTTGGGTTTTTAGAGTGAAAACAGCTGAACAAGGAGTCGTCACAGCGGAGATAAAGCTGAGGGAGGTGATCGAGAAATTTCACCACGCAAAACACTTTCAACAAAGGAAACCGACTGAACAACAGGAAACAAGACAGCATGAGATCAACAGATACTGAAACGTCCAGGTTGTGTTTACCCTCCTTCACGAGCCAGTTTCCCTTCCAAGGGGAATATTTTTAACAGTCTACGGTTTGGAAAGGAACAAATCAGTCAGTTATAGCTGGTATTTCACAATGTTGCATCAGGGCCTTTGCTCTTGCACACTAATATGACTATCACATATAGTGCCAAGATCTGACCATGGACTGACATGCTAATTTCACCTTAGAAACCCTAAAAAACATATCAATTATTCCTCTCCATCTGCCTGTATTGAACTTTAAATAAACCTTTATTACCCTTTGAAAAGGTCATATGTTTTGATCTATTCAAATGCATATAATTACCAATAAGGAAAACCAAATGTAGATAAAATAATTATCATATTTCTATTATAACTATATGCATATGCTTTCAGAACCAGGGAAATTCAGCAGAGATGTGGACATAAGCTAGAACTTTATGATTAAGAGTACAAAGCAAAGATGATGGGATAAAATATATCAAAGACATCTACATAACTTTGTGACCACTTACACAACTTTGGACTAGTTAAAGCTTTTACCCATGAGTCCTTTCAACACTCCAGCATATAGAAGATTCCTGATCTCAGCGAGAAATGAAAAGATCTCCATCCACACTCTGAATGTAACCCAACCAGCTTTTTGTGATTTCCACCTTCCAGCTTTAACAGACCACACATGAGGCTGGGCCTCTCCAAACTTCAAGTGTGGCACATAAACATGGAGAAAAGTTAATTAGAAGTACAAACATATGATGATGGACTAAATGTGCTGTCTGCGGCAGGGATTAGCACACCGCCTGTTCCGAAACTCCACCAATCTTATTTGTTTGCCCTTTATTTTCTCCTAATCCTGCCCTTTTTTCATCATCATGGCTCTTTGAAAGGCACAGGAAATGGAGGCTACCCCCCCCCCCCTTAGATGAGGGCTGTGCATGTGTAATTAAATTCTAGCCCAGACCAACTCAGCAGCAGCAGTGACCCTCGGGTCAATATCAGCCTGGTAGTAAAGAGAAAGACACTTAGCACTAAAGAAAAACACTCAGGCTTGTTATAAACATCAGCTGCTTATCCTTTAAATTTTTTTCTCACACCGCAGGATACTTCATATAATATGGACACAATGCAACAACCATTAACGTTAATTCAATTGCAAATTAGAGCTGCAACATATATCAACTCGCTGACCACAATGCAATACCACACTCATGGAGGACTGATAGGATGATATATTGGGATGTGTATTTCAATTTCCATTTAGAAATGCTCTGCATGCAAGTAATACATTTGTCCAGTTGGATAAGCTTTTTCCTGCTTTGAATTCCCAACAGACTTCAGGGGACAAGACGATTAAAAACCACAGAGAGTAATGGAGACACAGTGAGGACTGTAAAAAGGGAGCAAGGAAAATGTGCAGTGAGATAACTCCAGTACTGTCATTGTAATTCTCAAATAAGACATAAATTGACCTGAATGTTGTGGCCTATCTCCGATATCAGCTCTGAGCTACCCATTCAAATTTGGCTTATTTTGATGTGTTTGCAACAGCTTTCATATTCTAAAGCTTTTAGCCTTCCTGTCATTATCATTCATTAGTTATTTAAAACAATTTTTTTTTTTCTCTCAGATAAAATAAAGCAACATTTCCTAAAGGCTGCCTAAACTGAGCAATCAAGAGCAGCTATCCTGTCCTGTTTTTTAGATCGGATATTTTCTAAGGGGAACTGTCGGTAATTATGATAGAAGTGGAAATAAAAAAAATAATTAAAAAGTCTTCTTTGCAACAACTCCCCTAAAAATGAAAAAGGCAAATATATATCTATATAGTTCTGATTTTCCAACCAGCTGAACACTGGGCTAGATCTACTGAGGGGAAAATCTGGATCAGCAGCGCACTTTTCCCTCCAACAATAATATCGCCGTAGCATACTTCTCTTACATTATTTAATTCATGCAAGATTCATGTTTGAGAAAACCTTTGCAATAAAAGGGCATGCAAACCTGTAAAGTACTAAAAAAAAAAATTTACCGTTTCCAATAGTCATGATCTCACAAAAAACGCTGATAAACATATTTCCAAAGTTCATTTTAGAACAAAGAAATATTTATTCAAGCTAAATTAAAAGTGCTATCTACAACAAGGGTGTCCAAAGTGTATTCCCTACTTCCTAATTCCAAATTAAGATAATCAGAGTTCAGAAAATCCTCTTAATCAGCCTTTATAAAGAACTGGGTAAACTGATGCAGGGAAACATCTAAAAGAAGCAGGACACTGTCCCAAAAAACAGATTCTGATTCTACCTAGATTGGCTCTAATCTGCAAACTGTTTTGATAAAATGCATCGAAACAAAAATAGCTCAATCAGTTTACACAATGCTTTGAACATTTTCTCAGTGTGTTTCCTGGATGGGGCCGCCTTTTCCAGCTGCTTTTTGTATCTCTGCTTCTGTCTCCTTAAACTCCAGTCGGCCTCGGCAGATGGCCGCTCACACTGAGCCTGGTTCTGCTGGAGATTTCTTCCTGTTAAAAGGGAGTTTTTCCTCTCCACTGTCGCTACAAGCATGCTAAGTTTGAGGGATTGCATCCCAGTCAATTAGTCGATCTGGTGAACTGTAAAGTGCCTTGAGATGACATGTGTTATTCAGAATCAGAATTATATTCCGATGTCTAGTTGTGAATAATCTACTAATTCCTTCATTTGACTTCAACCAATAATCCAGCTCATATTTTCCCTCATTTCTTATCCTTTAAAAAAACCTACAAATTCAGTTAAATCATTCACATTTTAAATAAAGCCAGTGCCAACAATCACTACATCTCTAAATAAATTAACCTGTTGATATTTACATTCGTCATATTTCTAACTGTCCATTTTATAGGAAGTTAACAACATAAACGTAACAAGCCAGAAGCTTCCATTTTTGTTTACAAAAGATAGCAAAAATAGAGTCAAAACTAAGAAGTTTATCGGTGAGGGAAAATTAAATCACTAAAATAGTTTATACTAAATAAATGGGAAGCTTTGAAAAGAGCTCCAGTCTAGCTGCTATAGATCTAGCTTGTGGTTTAGCTAGCATTGCCTCGGCTCGCTTTGTCTTCTTCCCACAGTGACGTTATTCCCTGGATTGTGTTTGAGGACAACTGATGGGTCAAACTGTTCACGAGACATGTACAAAAAAACACAAATTAGCCTCTCTAGCTAGAGTCGAATGAAGCTGCTGTGAAGAGTAAAGCAGACAGAGCGCTTGGTTGAAGCGTTTCTCCTGGTCGCACAGAGAGAACAGCAGTCCGCCTTTTGTTCCCCACCTGTGAAACACAGCATGGAGTACTCATCCTGCTCCGATAGGTGACTTGATTCCGCTCCGGGGTGACAAACGGTGGCCGTTTTCCTCCTCTTCAACATGAAACCATCAGCGGCAGACGAGGAGCAAGACGTCTGTTCTTCTCTAACTGCTGGTTCTCCGCCAGCCTGGCTGCCTGACCAGCGGCTCTGTTCCTCCTCCTCCTCCTCCTCCTCCTGTCTCCTCCCACTGTACACAAAGCCGCTCTGCCTCTGACACGCTGACAACATCAAGAGGCGGCTGAACCCTCACACCACAAAGGAGACACTATTTGAAGTGGTTCATTTAAAACCTGTTCAACCTAAATCAGAACCAATAGTGACCCATTTTTTACTCATTAATTTACTTTTTCTTTTTTTTTTGGTATAAATTATAGATTTTTTTGTCAATGATCAGTTTTATGTGACCTTTTGACAGGGGCCGGGCTAGATGGGGGGCCAGGGGTGTCCCCCTACCATTTTCGCAGTGAGCTTGACGCAGACATTTCTGATTTATGCTCAATTCGCTGTGGGTCTAGATACGGCCGAGGCGGGGAGGAACGGGGGCCAAGTTTGTCTGACAACAGAGGGACATGACTGTGAAAAAGAGCTGGGATCCAGGTGGAAAAAGTGTCCCAGCGTTTTCATGCACTTCGCTCTTCTAGCTTGTCCAACTTCACGATAGAGCCCTGCCCTCCCGCGGGACCCAACGCAAAGCATTGCGGAGCGGGACAAATATTGAAAGCTCATTGCAGGTGCGGGCGGGAGGGAGCGGTGATAAGCGGCAGTTCCGCGAACTAACGTGTTTTAAAATGTAAAATAAAGTCATAAATAATCACTGTATGTCTATCATATATATACATCACAATGTGCTGGATATTGCAGCTCATGCCACCTAACGTGTGTCATGCACTATGCAGGGAAGAATCGGCCAGTAATGTGTTTAGCTAAGCACAGCGTGTTTAATTCCTCAAACTAATGACACGAATTGCCTTGAGCAGTAAGCGAACGTCAGAATCATGCAGAAATTGCGGGCGGGAGCGGGACAAACTATTACAGGTGCGGGCGGGAGCGGGACTGAAAATCATAATTCTTTGCGGGAGCGGGACTGGAAAATCTGTCCCACGCAGGCCTCTACTTCAAGAGTCATTTTCTGAAATTGCGGTCATAAAACCAAAACAAGCCGGCTGCCGGTTGTTCACTGTGACACCTACGACACCTAAGCAGACAACCTGGTTTCGAAGTATAAATCAGCCTTAAGGCTACGTTCACACTGCAGGCCTTGATGCTCAATTCCGATTTTTTTGTGAAATCCGATGGGTTTTTTTTGCGTTGCGGTTCAAATTTCCAAATTTCTGCGACTTGTATGTGATCTCCTGTGTAAACTGCATTCATACAGCTTAAGTGTCCTGGATGCGCAGTAGAGGACGGAATGATGTCACAAGCCAGCGTGCTTCGTGTTTATAGAACTAAACACGTATGTACTGCTGGAGTGCATCTAGCGATCGTTCCAAACCTTAAAATCTCAATCTTTTCCAGATGGTTAAAAAAAATTCTGCTCTCCGCATCATCGTCCGCCGTGGTGTTTGTTTTTCTTGCCGCTTCTGTGTAGCAAGAAGCAGAATAGTGACCTATGTCGGTTGCTAATGGCGTGCAGGTCGGATGAATGCGACCTGATCGTTCACACACAGGTCGCATTTGAAAAGATCTGATTCGTATCGGATTCAGGAGCAAATAGCCAAGTGGCCTGGGTCGTATTGTTCAGACTGTCATGAAAAGGTCCAGGTCGCATACGGGCAAAATAATCGGATTTGGGTCACTTCAGGCAGCTGTGTGAACGTAGCCTAATACAGATGGTGGCAGCAGTAATACTCTCAAGTGGAATATTTAAAACATAAAAATGTTTTATGTTTAATTATGCGTATTAATATAGTAACATCAAAGATGATAAATACAGAATTCATGCTCTTTTCAGAAGTAGATGTTGTGTTTTATGGGGTAAAGAGAAAATGTGTTTCTGCAAGTCATCAGGGAGTCTCCAGTGAAATCATAGATAAATAACAATTTTAATAAAACCTTATCAAATCATCAATTTATGTAGATATTAGTGCTTGAAAATATGCTGAATGTTTTTTGATACAAGTAGGTAAGTAATGACGATGGAAAAGATTTACGCCCCAGATCTCGAAACTGAAAGAATTTCTCGACTATACCTTTTATTTAGAAAGCACGGATGTTTGAATATATGCGTCTACTTGTTAGCAAATGCTGTAGGAAAGTATAGTTTGTCTTTATTTAGAAAATATGGATATTTTGCTCGTTAATTTTCCTGTTGAAAGAGTGTAGTTTTACCCTGAGGTCCTGGTGCCTATCCACTTTCAGCCACCCATCAGTGTACAATGGTTATTGCCTGGCCACCTTTATAAAAATGTTCTGGCTACGCCTTTTGACCGCTGAGACCATATCATCATGTAACCTAGGTTTTCTCTTTGCATGCAAAGCTTCTCTCTGGATACTCCAGCTTCCCTCCACACTCCAAAAACATGAATATTTGGTTCATTGCATGTGTAGCTGTTTGTACTGCATGTCTCTGTTGAGGTGTAAAGGATTGGTGACCCATTCAGAATAAGCTGCAGGAATGCAAGAATAAGCGGGAATAGACAATGCATGAATTTCTGAATAAATCATATTTAAAAGCGTTGTAAGCTACAGATTTGGTCATATTTATGGAAATAAAGTTGAGTTAACAGAAATACAAAAGTTGTTTGTCACTCTGTGGGCAGTGAATCTATAGTTTATCTTTCTTTGGCTTATTTTTGATTATACAATAAAATGAGATTAATCTGTACATGCTAATGAGAAATGTGTTGCATATCTCATCAGCTGTGGAGGCTGCAGCCCCTCAGACTCGAAGAATGTGAGACGAGTGGTGAGACCAGCAGAGAAGATCATCGGGGCTCCTCTTCCCTCCATTAAAGACATTTCATCCCCGAGCTACATGTCCCGAGGCTGTAACATCATGAGTAACCCCTCACACCCCAATCATGGGCTGTTATCCCTGCTGCAATCTGGGAAAAGGCTTCTGCAGATCCAGGCCCAGCAGGTTCTCTAACAGCTTTTACCCCACTGCCATCAAAAAAAATTCTAAATCAAGTCACAGACTCTGCATCACACTGATAACACCAAATCAAAAAGAACTCAATTAAAAAAATGTTTGTTTTTCCACTGCATATTTGCACCATATATATTAATGTTCTGACCTTCCATATCAATGCGGTTTGGACCATGTTTTTCTCCAACGCCGCTTACATTTCACTGCTAAGCTGCTGCAAATATACTATCTGAAAGCTGTCCAAAATGAAATTTCGTTTTGTATACACTCTGTTTATACAAAATGACCGTAAAAGTTGTCTAAGTTTATCATCCTGTACTGACCTTTCTGGAGGCGGCCCCTGATCAAATGCCAACATCAGCATTGTTTGGGAAACAGCAGCTAAGGTTTGCAAATAATTATATATACTCTAATTCTAGGTCAAACCTAGAAAGGCATTTAGTCTCATAATTAAATTAACAGTGAGGAGAAAGGGTCAAATGAAATTATTTGTTTCCTTGTCTTTTGGTTTGTTGGAAGTGTAAATCTCAGGGTCAGTTCTCCTTAATAAAATCATTCGAGGAAACTTTATATATGAACAAAATAAATATTAAAAGGCAAAAGAATCCACAAAATAAAAATTCTCTTCCTCTTGGAAAATAAAACGGTTCAACCCTAAGGAAAGGGAGCACAAGCACCAGGAAACGGACCGAGGAGAGAGAGCTGTATGAGGTGGAGTGGAGTTTCCTGTAGCTCCAGAGCAGAACTAACTGTCCTCCAGTAAATATCGACTTAAAACAAAAGACATGTAACATATTTCAATTAATAGAATGAAACACATAAACATTTATAATCAGAGCAAATGTTATTCACCGTATTGCTTTAACTGGATTCATAGGAGAGGAATGGGTGGAGCATAGCTAGTGAGCACAACTTTGATGGAGGAAGAGAAACAATTTTTAAAAAAAGTCCTTAAAACTAAAACGCAAAAGCTGAACAATTTGATAGTATATTTATTTACTAGATTTGTTGAGGATAATTTCTGCACCTGAAGGCAGACAAAACAGAAATTATTTTCTTCTTTTAAAAATAAGCTGATTAGTCAGTCACTTGATTTGGATGGGAGTAAATTGATCTCAGATAAAGTAAAACATCTTGGTGTTATTTTTGATCAGGACCTGTCATTTAAATCCCATATCAAAGAGGTTTTGAGAATTTCCTTCTTTCATCTGTGGAATATTGCAAAAATTAGAAATCTCCTGTCCAGAGGTGATGCTGAAAAACTAGTCCATGCATTTGTTACTTCAAGGCTGGACTATTGTAATTCTTCACTATCAGGAAGTCCACAAACTTTAGTTAAAATCCTTCAGCTGATCCAAAATGCTGCAGCCAGAGTTCTGGTGAAAAATAAAAAGAGAGATCATATCCTTCTATCCTAACTTCTCCTCATTGGCTTCCTGTTAAATCAAGAATAGAATTTAAAATCCTCCTTCTCACATATAAACCTTTAAATAGCCAAGCTCCATCTTATATCAGAGATATGATTGTTCCTTATGTTCCTAACAGAGCACTTTGCTCTCAATATGCAGGTGTATTTCAGTGTAGTCCTGTTTCTCTGACTGACTGGCTAAATGTGCTCTCTTCATCCTCTGACATGGGAGCTAGCTTGGCGCTCGTCTGGCTTGCTGTGTGTTTCATGGGCAGGGCCGCCTGTGGAGCTGGCTTAGTTACTTTTTGCATCTCTGCTTCTTTCTGGGGTTCTCGTTGAAACCCAGTCGGCCTCGACAGATGGCCGCTCACTCTGAACCTGGTTTTGCTGGAGTTTTCTTCTTCTATTAAAAGGGAGTTTTCCTCTCCACTGTCGCTACAAACATGCATGGTGTGAAGGATTGCCTTCTAGTCAATAAGTCGATGTAATCAGCTGGTTTTCTTTGGATAGAAAACTTTGAACCTATCTGCCTTGAGATGATGTGTTGTGAAATGGCGCTTTATAAATAAAGTGAATTGACTGGCAAATTCTAATTAATAAAATTACTATATCATTAAAATGGACATCTTAAAATGCCGTTTTGACATATTAATAAGTTATTGGGTATACTTTTATAGTACCCCTAAGATTCCACCTGTAAATTTAACAATTACAGGTGGAATTACATTTTCACTGTAACTTTGCCAACTGGTCAGGACTGCTGTTGTCCAATTTTAATAGGGTTAAATGGTTTTCACTGCCAACAGTAAAATAATATTAAAAACATGTTTGCTATTACAAGAAACTCTGATAAGCAGCTCTAATAATTTATATACCATCTGTACAATCTAAAGCACACATTCATAAATAATATGAAATGTTTTATATGTAGACAGTCAAAAATAAAAAAAGTCAAATATCTGATATGCATTCACACCATTTATTGGCAATACATAAAAAAACAAACATAAAACAGTCATGACATAAAAAAGATTATGTCTGCTTTCTTAAGCAACAAAAAGAAATAGTTCAATGTGCTTTTAGAGTTGATGCATCCGTGTCCGAGTCCAGCAGCACATGGGACATCCTGAGCTGTCCTACAGGCACAGTCACCACATAAATACTACAGCTCCTGCAGAGTCCTAAAGTCAGCCTCATCTGAAGGTGGATTTGTGTTTACATCCAGTGGAGATTCCTGGGAGAAGTCATCCGATAATACCAGCTCTCATCTGGTCAGAAAATTAGCTTTTTCTTCATTACAGCTGAAAAAACAAACATTTTTATGTCAGAAGAAATACATTCACATCAATTTTCTACATATAGAAAATACCAAACTGAATCTCTGCAAAGTATCCTGCCATAAGTCTTATGACCAGCTCTCTATAATATAGACAACACAACACAGCATGAAGTCAAACCCGAGTATTTTCCAAACCACAGGAGGAGCTGGAAAAAGCTTTGAACCTCCCAGTTACACCAACCCTCTGCTCCACTAAAACAAACCTTCCCACTAAACTGCATGTGCATGTTCTGCTTCAGGATGTTCTACATTTCTAACTTAAGCTGTAATTACAGCCAACACCCACTAAATGTCTGGTTTTAGAGTAAGGGTCCATCAGTGTGTGAACTGTTAAAAATGTAATGGTTTATTAGGTTAAGATTTGAGCTATTTATAAAATTTGAGTCTGGCTTTAAATGAGGAAACACTTAGAAAATGTTAGCTTTGTAGCTAATAATGTTAACTCTGGCTTACAGATGTAAAAATGCAAACATCAGATTTTTTTTACTTGTATCCAAGCCCTCTATTTTCCTCTTGAGTCCGACCGTGTCTTTCTCCCTCAAAGCCTCTAGAGAGGCGTTGGGTCGTGGTAGCTGGGGACCAGGAGTGGGGCCCGGGCGATTACTGAAGTACCTCATCTTCAGAGCCTGGATGGAGAACAAAGGAAAGCACTGTTAACAAGGACTGGTTAAAGACAGCAGCACTTACAAACAGTAGGGCAGATAACCATCTAAAAACATAAAGGATCGTTCTGTCTCAGAAACGTTGTATGATGTACTAATACTTATCAGAGAACACTGAATCCACTAACGGCAGATGAGTTAGTTCTTAACCTAGGGGCCGCAGTAGATGAAATTCTACCTCTATAGTCTTAAAGTCCTTTGCATTAAGCTACCGGTACATAGTTTTTATTTTTATTTTGAATCAAGTCTCAAATTTAAATCAACACTGCAAAAAATTGAGATCTAAAAAAGTCAATTTATTCATAAAATAAGTGCTTTTTTAAATTGAGCAGCAAACAGCCCTTCAATTGTCAAACCCAAAGAACATATATACCTCTTGTATTTTCATTTATTTCCAAACTTCCACTTAAAACTTTTACATATTTAATGGAATTTTATTGTGAAGTATAAGAAGAGACACATTATAAATTATTGCCCTGTATTTTATCCATATTCCCAATTTCTGTTGAAATAAAGCCCCACAGCATGATTCTGTCACTACTGTGTTTAGTTGCGATTTTGAGGGAATCTTGGAGATAACATATTTAAGGAAGAGTAAAAGAAATGCCTGGGTGCTGAGCAAAAATAAAGGTTTATAAGATGAAAACAGTCTTTAAATTTGCATAAAAAAAAACAAAAAAACTTTGCAGTTAAACTAGAAGCTAAACACTAAAACTGAAAAATCTGTATCAAATTATTTCTGACTTCCTCGAATTGGAAAAATTCACTCTTCTCCTATTAAAGAGGAAATGTTTCCTCACAATCACTTACGTTACTGTTATCCTCCAGCTCACTGCTGAGGTATTTGCCAAATTAAAAAACAACAATGCAGGTAAACATAAGTTAAAATAAGTGCAAAGATTAATAAATGCATACAATCGGGGGTGTTTTTTTTATTAAAAAGGCTGAAATATTTGAAAGGGTTAAAACTTCCATGTTATGTTGGATAAGACTCATATAGCAAACTGAGTGAATAATGATTTAAGGAAAAGACACAACTTAAAAAAACAAAAATCTAAGAATTAAAGCTGTATAAAAAATAGAGATACAGAAATTATTTCCCTGTTCAGTTTTTCTGCCCACAAACTCAGGTGGTGTACGAGACATTCTTTAACCTAACCAACTGACCTTTTGACACAGATAATCTGCATTTCATTTTAGGTAAGTCACTTTCTTTTTTTTGCTTCCTTTAAAATAACCCAGAAACATTAGCAGTCATTTCATAAAGTCACAATGTTCTGCAGCTATAGTTAGAATTTGTATCACATTATTAACACTAATCTAGAAAAATTAGTGGAACAAAGAAAAACCCATCATGTAATTTTAAACAATGACCTTTGTCTTGCCCAACCAATATGTAAACAATAAGAGCTTCTTTGTAAAATACTTTTTTTTTTCTTACCTGTGTAGCTGTGGTCCTCGTTAACGGGTTAAAGGTAAAGAGGCCTTGCAGGAGCTCAAGTAAATCGTCTCCAGCAGCACTAAATATGTGCTCCAGAGGGGTACCAGGAAATATCTTGAAGGACACATAGTCTGGTAGGCTGGTCATCCCCTGCAGAGACATTCCACAGATTAATCTTAAAGGTCACAAATCAAAAATGAACTAAAAGAATAGATACGTACAGGCCAAGTCTCTTCTGTGGGAGTCCCGAGAGCTTCAAAGATTTTAGTCAGCTGGTCCAGATCCGAGTCTCCGGCAAGAAATGGTATCTGCAAGATGCAAGAGGGTAACGAGAAGATGGATTGAAATCCTCTGACCTTTTTGTTTCCTTTTTGTTTTATGAAGTGTATAAAGTGAGGCTTCTCTACCCGAAGAAGTAACTCAGCCAGGATGCATCCCACGGCCCACATGTCGACGCCCACACCATACATTCTGGCACCAAACAGGAGCTCAGGAGAGCGGTACCACCTGGGAAAGAAACCAGTTAGGAAAAACACAAGAGGAGCTTCAACAGGAACAAAATCTAAATCTGAACGTAAAACACATAGGATAAAACATGGTAGCAGTGGGATTATGCTGTGGGGATGATTTAATCAACATGGGGAGGAAAGCAGGCCAGAACTTAAGAGACTTGATAACAGGCATCAAGCCTTTGAGCCCTGATTACAACAGACACAACTTAACACCTGATCTGAAGGAAAATTGGATTGGATGAAGTTGTGTTGGTTGGATCTCATTAAAAATGTACGGAGCAGGTCAGACTGCCCAGAAGGAGTGTAGCTCTGAAGGAGGTAGACCCTTGGTCTGTTTTGGTCGGACCTAAGCAGCAATTTGGTGTTTAGTGTCATGACTGACACGAAGAGAGACAATTTGGGAAAGTTAAACACAGCTTTGGGGAAAGTACAAAGTAAAATCTGATTCTCTAGATAGAAAAGCCAGGGTCAAACAAACAGTACGCATATAGCAAGAGGGGCAGAGTTGGTTGAGATATGCGAATAGTAAAACCTTTAAATAAACAGTGTGCTTTACCCACGGTCAGAAAAACAGAAACTAAAATAAAGATCATCTTTGAGCTTCAAAAAAAACTAGTGAAACAAGTGAAAGAACAAGGATGAGGGACACGCATGGTTTATTTCGCTTCACTTTTTATGACATAAAAAATTTAAATGAAGTTTCCTCATTTACATTCAGATAAAGTCATGAACTGCTTCAGAGTCTTTGTTGTGGCTTCATTTTCTTTTCTTTAAAACTAGTTCCTATTTATTTTTTGTATAGATTTTCAGAGCAAGGCTCTCAGGTTGGTCATGACAGCCACACATCTCTGTGACAATGAGTGCAGCTCTGCCTTCTTTAAACTTTACTTTTCCCCCCAAATTTTTTATCATTTGAGCTGTTGAAATGCAGGAATTAGCTTCAATTTGTGATATACCAGGTCAGATGTGAGTCTGCGCAGACAGTGTGACAGAAAAAATAATCTGAATCAGACATACTTGAATAATCCCAGAGGGAAATTACTTTTGTTGCACGCTCCAGACACACACTTAAGGATGCATGCATGCATGCATCAGAGCCCCTACAGTTGGATATACAGTAGTAGCCATTCAAAAATTTCCCACTTTCCTTGATGATTCCTTGGCTGGTCCCCTACAATTCCTTTTTAAACATCAATCATTGAACTAAAATATTCTTCCTATCATGAGTTGTGGACATTAAGAACTAAAGAGTAGCATCATCTCCTAGTCAGACCCTGGCTGAAGTCAGAGTAAAAAATATGCAAGAGGGAGTCACTCCACTGGCTGGAAGGTAGAGGGGATTTTGCCTGCAGTTGGAGGGAAGTGGGCTGATGCTTTAACAGGGAAGGGCCATTTTGAATGGCTGCTACTGTAAATGTTGACCCAGCCATTAAATGCTGCATAATATGTGACCTGGGGCAACAGAACGACAACACTTCAGAGGGAAGTGCATTTATGAATGGTCTAGCGAAAGCCCACGTCTAAAAATTGACAAAATCTGTGACAAGATCAAATTGCTGTTTAAAATAATTCTCTCTACATATATTCAAAAATATTATTACGACTGAGTTTGAGGTATTTTCAATGAAAAAGAGGACAGCAATTTAATTTTTTAAGCATCATTTAGTAGAGACATAAGGTTTAAATAAATATATAGAAGCAGATAAGGTCTCGCAGTAATTACAGCCACGTATCAAATTCTTTTAAAATAAGAATTAGTAGAGGGCACTACTTTCTGTTCTTCTTTCACTCAAAAGAAGTTTTACGTATTTTAATTTGCTCACCACCAGCTCCTCAAGGACTATATAATTACTGTTATAAGAAGACAAATTAATGTTAACATTAGATCTGAAACAGTTAATCGTGATTTTAATTAATTAAATTAATCGTCAAATAATTCAGTAATCCATTAATCACTAACTGCAGGATAGAGACTCAAACATGCCTTTAGCTGACATAGCAACCCACTTTGAGCAGTAATTACCCTTCTCCAAAATGTGTGAATATATATATTTTGTAGTAATTACTTTTTCATTTGTCAATATGCTCTCTCCAGAACTCCTCAAGTGGAAGACTTTTAGCTTCACCTTGTTTAATTCTGTAAAAATCATCTTTAAGGAACATTTTGCTATTCAATAATTATAAATCGAAAAATTATTGGCAGAATAATTGATTAGAAGAATAATCATTAGTTTCAGCCCTATTTAAGAGACATGCTGTTGTCCTAAAATCACATGGATTGAGGAAATATGCTGCGTTGTCTGAATCGGTTCAACATCTCTAACCTGGTAACAACTTGATGCGTGTAGATTCTGTTTGGGCTGCCGAAAGCTTTGGCCAAACCAAAATCAGCCAACTTCAACACTCCGTTCCCGTCTAGCAACAGATTATTAGGCTTCAGATCCTAGCAAAGAAAAAAATAATGAAATTAAAAACAGCAAACATAAAGAGGATCAATCAATTAATGATATGAATGAATCTGCTGGGTTTAAGTTCTCTTACTCTGTGTAGCACCCAGTGTTGGTGCATGAACTCCAAGCCTTGTAGCGTCATGAGGATGTAGGCTTTAATGTGGGCTGGAGTTAAGACGAGGCTGGTGTCTTTAATGATGACCTACAAATGTAAAAAATGAAAGGCCTTAAATCTAAAGTAAAACTGGACATATGGTGAATGAACAACGGAGCAGAAAGATAAAACCAAAGTAAGGGAAATAAGAAAACAAAGCGGGCCTCCATCAACCCTCCTCTACACTTCCATCTGTTCTAAAGTGGCTCGTTATTGCAGCCTGTCATATAATGTCATCAGTGATTAAATATAACAGGATGTGCTTTTAAACTAGTCCATCAGCTTTAGTGGTAGACATGAGACAATCCTCTGCAGCCTCCCCTCTCCTCACTGTGTTCTGCCCACCAGCGGCTAATAGCATACACTTATGTGCACAACCAGAAGGAGAGTGGTATTGATTTTCTTTAAAGCACGTTTATCTTACGTCATCACTGAGCTAAAGTCAAAATGCATTATCAGCCGCTGCCCATCTGGAGCCTTGCATTTGGAGAAAAAAAGCCTAAAAGAGGACTGAAAATACAAAAGGTCTGGAATATTCATGCTTCAGTAATACTTGCAGTCTGTCTTATTATGATTTTTTTTATTGCTAATCATGAATATGATCTGACCTTACTAACAAGACTCTCCATCTTTATACAATAATGAGAAGACATTGGAGCTGCTTAATTTGCATTAGACACAAAAGTGTATTTATAAAACATTAGCTTTCAGGTGCTTTTCTTTCCCCTTGATTATTAAAGGGCATATTGTAAAAAAAAATAAAAATAAATGGCCTGATGTACTTTAAAAAATACACAATAAAACAAACTGACTTAAGCCACAAATCGTCAAAGGATCCAAGGAAATCCAGGAGCAAATGAGACCAAGTAATTGACATCTTTCATTTGTAAAAGCCATATCTAAACCTGTGGGACTCTAGAAAAAAACATTTAATGGCCAAAACATGGGACATTACTAGGGGAACCCCACATATAATTACTCCACAGTGATGTAAAAGAGGCGCCTGATAGCAGCTGTTACTGCTCAGCACAGTTGAACCCATTGTTAGATTATTTTTAACACCTGGCCATATATTTTGGATTTTCTCCTCTTCCCAATAAACACCTTCATGTAACACATAGTGGGCCTCTCCAGGTATATGGACCATGTGCTCCTTCTTTCCCACTCATTGCAGTGCACTGCTGGCAAGCTAGCTGAAATAGAGCTTCAATATTCCCTTGGTTATGAGGAAAATGATGTGAAAATCATCTTTTTATATTTTATCCCCAACATGAAAACAATAAATATTCATTAACTGAAAACTAAAGATATACCCACTATGGCTCTTGTTGTGGTAAAGCAGCTTTAAACTACAGTAGATAAGCTATAAACGGCACTTCTGTTAAGTGCTGGTTGCTTATCTGCCACCTGTCCAAATACAAACAGCACAACAACTCAACGTTCCATAAGAGCACATGATAAGATTGTTTACCATCTTTAAGCCAAGATTAGAATTTAAAAAAGACATTAATATTAAGTGTAATATCTCAATAACATTACAGAATGTATCAACATTTAATGATATATAACATTCTGGCAGAAACCAATTTTTGTATGTTTTAAACATCTAGATAAATTGATGCTTTTTAAAATTTTTATGTGATAGAAAACATAATATAAAACATGTATATCACATTCCTATGTAATATAAAGCATTTTAATTCCTATGTGATATAAAACATTACTTTGATATAAAACATACCATGAAAATCATAAAACAGACCGTTCCTACTCTGAATTTCAGACTTTGTTTCATGTTTTTGTCATCTCTGATGAAGGAAAGATGAACATAAATTCATGACAAGGTTTCAATATACTTATCCTTGGCATGTACAATAGGCTCCTCTTTTTACACCTATCCAATACATGAGGAAAGTGTAATGTTTTCTCATTTAAACAATCCGATCACTACAAATTTTAAGAGACATGTTGGGCAGAAGGATAACTGATCATATAGCTCAGTAAGCCAAAGGAATTTTAAATTGTCTAAATGTATTTTATTGTGTGAATATGGGCTTAGGTGCGGGGGATGATTGAATGTAGAGTAAAGCAGGTTGGAGTCCCCCGTCTTTAAATGTAATGTCCTTTATTGTCCCACAATGGGGAAATTCGTTCTCTGCATTTGACCCATCCCCTCGGGGAGCAGTGGGCTGCCATTGTGTGGCACCCGGGGAGCAATCAGGGGTTTTGATCAGGAACCAGAGTGGAGGCTGTGGGGATCAAACCGCGTACTTGCAACCTTCTCAGAGCGGGAGTCCGTGGGAGTGGAGCTTGAACTCTGGAACCCAAGTGCAACGCCCTAAACCACTAGGTCACCACTCCCCTTAAAAGGGGCTATAACAGTAGAGGCCATTTGCCATGTGTTAGTTTTAGAAAAAGACCACGCATATAGAAAAAAAAGGACTTAAATACGATGAATAAAAAAAGAGAATTCTCACCTCCAGGTCTGTTTCCATGAAATCAAACACCAGGCTTATGTTTGATTTGTGTCCAAATGCATCCAACAGCTACAGCACGATGAATTCAAAACAAAATAATTAACATATCTAAAATGTGTTAATATTATCAGTTGACATAATAGCAAAAGGTTTACCCCAATGATGTTTGGATGATGCAGCTCCTGAAGCAATTTGATCTCTCTGAGTGCAGTCCTGTTTATACCTGCAAAGATCAAAGCAGTGAAATCACCTGCAGCACGTGATTAGAATAACAGCAGTTTAAAGGCAGCCATCTTTACCATCTTTAGCCTCTGTTCTGTGGCCCACCTTTATCTGGGGGAGGCATCAAAACAAGCCAGATGTTATTAAGCAGAATCCACTATAAATAAAAGTAAGCTAGAACAGCATTGTTTTACCTTCTTAATTGCAACTATCGTGTCGGTCTGTTTGTCTCTGGCTTTATACACTGTGGCGAACTGTGGAGGACATTAAACATGATCATATATCTGACTGAAAGCAGCAGCAGCAAGGCTTTGTTTACATTAGCAACCAGCTAAAGCTTGTTATCTCCCTACACGTTTCTCGGACTGAGTGAACATGAAAAGCAACATAATTGAGCAATAACGCCTGAACAGATAAATGACCTACCTGACCCTCTCCGAGGAAGTCCAGCTTTTCGTATCGTTTTGCTCTGGTTTTCACATCAAGTGCCATAACTACGGCTAATAACAGTCTCGTTGTCTCGCCAACTTCCGGTCTTATTAAAGCTCCGCTGCTGCTTTGTTCTACTTCCGGGTCAACTCAGGCTGCTAAAAGTTACCAACTGCGCCATCTGGTGGTTAATTATTTCATATGATCCTGCAGAAATAAATGTTTTACAGCGTTTCCATTTTCTGAAATCTTTTGAATTCACAACTGCACAACAAAAATAGACATGTTTGTAGGAACATGCACAATAATAATAATAAAAAAAATGAAACAACTATATTTTCATTGTATTTAACGCACATTTTTATGGTTAGGACCTAAATTCACCAACACGACAGAACAGCAATGCTGCTCGTTTGATTTTGGTTTGGTTTATGGAATATTTAACTAAACTTGACTGTTATTTTAATTGTATAAATGATGACATGCTTGCTTGCACTGTGGTGCAGTTTGTAGCACTATTGCTACAATCTTTCTGCATGGAGTTTGCATATTCTCTCTGGGTACTCTGGATTTCCTCCCACTGCCCAAAAACATGACTGTCAGGTTCATTGGCATCTCTACATTATCATTGTGCTTTGGTTTATCTTTTTAAGTGTTTTTCAATTCAATTCATGTTAGTTAAATTATACATTTTTCATCCCTGAAGGGATAATCCACAATTTAAATGCTTGTATAATTTTATTTCTGTCTCTAGAGTATTTACATAGTTTCCTCATTTCGCAAGGGCTGTTTTTGTTATGGTTGATTATAGATATTTCATAATTATAACCTTTATTTTCCTGGCATATTTTTTGTAATTGCCGAATTTCATGTGTTCTTTCTAGGGTCTTGTGTTCGTTTTTTTTTTTTTTTTTTACTTGTATAAAAACACTTTTTTAACACTTGGTTGTATTAAGTGTGCTGTGGACTGAAACGCAGATTGATTTATTGACTACCGCATACTAGTCTATAAAAATCGAAGTATGAAAGTTATATACATCGTTCTTGTCTTTTTACTGAACAATCAGAACATGTTAATGCAGAAAAAATAACTACATAACAGTCTGTCTGAGCATCATTCCTTTGTGTGTTAGAATCTCACAATGTGACTTTTAAGTGAACAAGATTCCCACTCAAAGTGCTTCTAACATTACTCCTTTTCTCTTTTAAACAAACCTAAAAAAAACAAAACAGTATCTTTAAGCTATGAATTGCATTTGTATCATGTATTCGTTTCATTTTTGTAAAATCAATCAATCCTATACTGTAACCCCCCAGCTTCTCTGTCTAGTTGATTGGTGTGGCAGAATTTTAATGTGATAAAACCGTTTTTTTTTTCCAAAGGCTACGTCTCTTTTCCTGTTTAGAAACAGTTTAATATATGCAGTCTAAAGAAGATGAACATTGTTATTGCATTTCACAGGAATTGTAATGTATTTTTGACGAAAAAAAAATAAAGCAATATAAAAAACTGCTATTCAGCATTACTCTTCATCTCAAAACTTCTTCAGCGACTCCAATGGCTCTTAAAATCTACACATCCCTGCAAAAAAACATGTCAGGGCTTTGTCGACTTCTGAGAGCCATTTTAACTGTTTTTTTGTAGAAAAACTCCATCTTCAGCTCAGCTGTCACTGCGCCTCTTATTTCTCTCTCCCAGCTCTCCGTTAGATTCTTTGACTAATTGCTCTGCCTACCTGAAATTGTTAATCTTATCATGATGCGGTAATCTACACAGTCTAATCTCCTGTCTTTGCCAGTTACATTGTGAGATTATAACCATTTTAAAAGATTTATTGTAGCCTACTTAGAGATCCACTTTCAGCTTTTGTTGAAAACGTGTCGTTTTGTTCATTTCCTTCTCTGCCCTTATAACAAAAGTATCATAGATCCTACTTATTTGTCTTTGAACGCACAGTCCAGCTGATTATTATATATATCATCCTCCCATGGTTATTGTTGTAAATTTATTAGAAATTATGGCTCTCCAAGATGATTATCTTGCCAATATAATCATTGCTGTCATTCTCCTGCTGCTCTTGTCCCCACCATGTGACACCCACTCAGGCTGGATGAAAAGTTTATGTCCTATAGTTCGACCGGTGATGGGTTTTTGTCAGAAGAAACGCTTTTTCAACATTTATATGTGTGTCACCAGATAATTGTTTTGTGAAGAAGAGCCTTTAACATTTTTGCAAAAATAAATGTTTAATTGTGAAGTTTAAAAAAAGGGTAAAAAGACAAAAGGTTGTAAAGTTTTGGATAGACTGGGTCAAAGATTCTTAAAACATTATGTTTTATACAACAACATTTTACAACAGAAAGAGAACATTATCCATGAACCCTTCACTGTCCCCACTGGGCAGCGGCAAACTTACAGCATAATGCAACAACCATCTATAACAATACCGATAGTGTGTTCAAGGTTTTAGGTAGTGACATTTCCATACATAATTTTTTTCATGCAGGCCAAGAACTTGGCCAGAGTTCCTCTGTGTTAAATACAAATAAGCAAGTTGGGCAACTTCCAATAAATAGAAGCTCAACCAGATGCTGCTTAGCTGAAGGACACCAAACCCCACAAATGCAGAAAAGGCTGGAAACCAGTGATTTGCTTTCATTTGAATTTGCAAAACTCAAAGAGCATCATCTTTCAAAACCATCTGTATCTTTATCAGAGTCACAATTGAACAGAAACAAGGCACTGAATTGCAGACAATCTGAGTACATGGATCAATGGAAGCATAGATAAATCATGTGTAAGCCTATTGCTCCAACAGAACAAGGGTGGAGCACAACTATGTGTTAACTGTACTGTCACTTCCATCTGATATTACACATTGCATAAAGAGCATAACGTATCACACACTTTTAACATCATAAAATAACATGTTAAAATAACCCTAATATCTTGCACCTTGTCCCGTCTCCCTATAATTTTGCATAGAATAAGTAGGTATAGAGAGTGGATGGGGGAAATTTATGGCAGGATGTTTGCCAAATGAATAAATAAAAAAATATAGAGACATATGCTAACAGTTATGAGACAAAACATCCCTAAATTCAAGTCATTTTAATAAAAAAATCAATCTAAATGTCAGCTAAAATAGTTCATCCCTCTGTTATCAATCACTCTGCTAGTATAACAGAGTCACGCTGCTTATAGTGTGCCCTTTTCCTGTCATTCTTTTCCTTCCCCCAGTTTCGACAGTGCTCCCCCAGGACTCTGTTCTGTCAGTTAGGAAGTTTTTGTGATCCATGCACCACTGAGCACATCTCTACATCCCATTCCCATTCACAGTAAAATACCAGCACATCCCACAGGATTAGGCATGCCTCCTCTCCTTTGACCCTGCGTGTCTCCTGTACCACACATTCACACAAACATACTGCATGCTCGCACTTCCTAAACACTCACTATGGACTTTCATTTTAATGTTAAGTTTGACAAGGGGAGTGTGAAGGATCAGCATGCCTAATGCACCCATCGCTGCCCCCACCCCACCCCCCGGCCTCAGAAGTATGCATGTTCTTGGTCTGACAGCTCACAGATGTGACTGACAGTATGTGCCCATGCAACCGAGAAAAGGAAAAAAGACGGGAGGATAAAAAGAGAAATGGCGCTGCAGTCTTTTCCGCCACCAAATCATCAACCTATAGAGATACGAGGGCTGATCAAAGCTGCTATTTTATCCTGTGACGGCTCCAGCTGACTAATTTATGGCATTAAGATGGATGTGACACATTTATTTCCTCTGATTCTTAACTGATCTAAGGGCATTCTTGTCTAATTACCTTCTATTTGTATTCGAGACAGGATTTTGTTTTTTGTTTATATTTTGCAGCTTTATGAGCAACATTTTTATGACATTTGTTGAAAATGTACGTGATGGAAAAAGATTGGAAAATTTAAAAGCCAACTTAACAAGAGTGTGATGTGTATTTTTGTTAATCTCTCTATCCTGTGGTGCCCCTAAACAGAATCTGATTTGGGCAAAGAGTTGATTTAATATGAGAAACCAGGATGGACATATATTTACGGTGGCCAAGGAAGAGATTCAATTTGTTGAGGGAAATTGTATTTTTAAACTGTGGTCCTTATGGAAGTGATAAGAAGAAAATGTGTTGCTGAAAGAAAAACATCTGGAACTAGGTTGTCTGGTGAGATGGGACCAAAATGGATCTTTCTGTCCTAAATAATGCAAAATACTCCCTCAATATAGAGGCAATTTAAATCTCCCTGAGCAGACCACCTCCAATGTTAAACAAGGTGGTGGCAGCATCATGCTGTTGGAATGCTTATTTTTAACAACGGTAGAAGAGCTGGACAGGGTTGATTAGAGGATTAATGTAATACTGTTAGGTCCTGCATGCTATGTTATAGTTTTGTTTTCCATTCTTTAATGTTTGCTGTATTTTTTAAAATTTGGCTATTAGGGGGTTGCCGTACTAATTCAGTTTGATTACCTTTGTTTTCTATTTGATTTCTCTTGGTTCTTTCTCAGCATTTTTAGTTGTTTTTGTCTTTATTTTCCCTCATTATTTCTGTATTATTAGACCCATTCTTTTAGTTTATTCCTTGCAGTGTTTATCCCTTGTTTATCATTTCTCTTTCAGCCACAGCTTTCAAGTAATTAGTCTGGTTTCTGCACCTGTGTTTTTTCATTTGCTCTACTGTTCGCATCTGTTTCCCCCACTACTTAGTCTCAGTCATTTACTAGTAGTCACCGGGTCCTTGGTTGATTTCCAAGTCTCCTTGCTTGTTTGAAATTTAATCTGCTGAAAAAAAAAACTTCATTAGAATATTAATCCTCACCATGTGGCTCCTGAGCGTCAGTCTGTGATTCGGTCCAGGACAGCAGACTGAAGAAAATCTGCAGAATCAGGAGGTTTACTATCCAGCAGGGTAAAATCCCTATAAGTGAAGTCACAGCAACATTACAACAGTTTAGATGAAAGCATATTTATATGTTACAACAGCTGTCAGTCACATTCTAGACCAGGGGTCTTCAGCGTTTTCCAGGCCAAGGACCACCAAACTGATGGTGAGATGGAGCGGGGACCCTCTAATTTTATATAT